CTATTTTTAGATTTTTGAGAAATTGCCATGCTGACTTCCATAGTGGCTAGACCAGTTTTTATTCCCACCGGCAATGTATTAGGGTCCCTTCTGCCACATCCTCACTAGCATGCAGTGTATCTGTGTTAATGACTGACATTCTGACTGGGGTGTAGTTTCTCTTTTTAGATTTATTTTTAATATTTTATTTATTATTTTTATTTTTTATGTGTATGAGTGTATTGCCTGCATGTACATAAGTATACCCATATCATGCAGTGTCCTCAGAGGTCAGAAGAGGGTGTCGAATCCCCTGTAACTGGAGTTAGGGACGGTTGTTAGCTGCCATATGGGTGCTGGGAACCAAAACCAGGTCCTCTGCCAGAGCATGTTCTTAACCGCTGAGCCATCTCTCCGGCCTGTCCGTATATTTTAATTTGCAGTTCTTTAATGGCTGGGGGGTGGGGCTGAACGTTTTTTCATGTGTTTAATGACCAATTGTGTTCCATCTTTGGGGAACTATTAGTTCATTTCACTATCCCATTTATTGTTGGTTTGTTTGCACTTCTGCAGTTTAGTTTTTTAAGTTCTTTGTATATTCTATATATTAATCCTCTGTCAGGTGTATGAGTAGCAAAGATCTGTTCTGCAGGCTGTCTTTTCACTCACTTAACTATTTCCTTGACTGTGCAGAATCTTTTTAGTTTCATGAGGTCTTATTTGTCAGTTGTTGGCATTGTTTCCTGAGACAGTATAGCTTTGAACATGACAAGAAAAGACACAAGGCTAGGCAGAGTCTTGTGACCTTTGCCACAAGTAGTACAGATGGGATAAAAGAGTGAGGACAGACTTAGCCTGTTCTCTGCCTTTCTGGTGGCTTTTCTGTGGTTTTCTTGGAAGGCCTTACCCTGGAATTTCTCAGAAAGTGCAGTTGTTTAGGATGATTGCAAGCAATCATTGTTTCCCAGAGACTGAGCTGTCTTTAGTTCCTGACCTGCCGTTCCTTGTGACCAGCTGTTCCTGCTGTTGACCAAATCAGATCTTGTGAGATTCAAGGAGAATCACCCTCAAGACCGGAGAATCACCCTCAAGACCTCTGGGGAAACAGACAGGACAGATGGATTGTCAGGAGAACCAAAGCAGTTTTCATGAACTGAGAGTGAGGTTAATGATAGATGATGAGATCATTTAGAGAACAGGTCTGACAGGAGTTCACCTGACCCTTGGCTAAGGCACAAATATCTCCTTAAAGTCCATGTTTGGAACTAGTAGATATTAGAAAATCAAAGATCATCCAGGTAGAAAAGGCTCTTCCTTGGAAATTGTGTAACTTCTGAGCACTTAAAATATGGCAAGTCCAAACAGAAATATATAGAAAATACATGATTTCAAAAGTTGGGTACTAAAAAGGAATATACTCGATCAATTTTTTTTTTTTTGTATTTTTGATACAGGGTCTCCTTGTAGTCCCATCTGGCTTGGAATTCACTATGTAGACCAGGCTGGCCTTGAACTCACAGAGATCTGCCTGACTCTGCCTCCCTAATGCTGTGATTAAAGGCGTGCCACCATGTCCCGAATACCTGATCAAATTTATGATTAGCTTGAAATGATGGTATTTGATATATTTAGGATTAATTGAGGATTAAATAACATATTGTCAAAATAATTTTATTTGCTCCTATTGTTTTTCTGAATATGCCTACAGAAAAATATTTTTTAGAAAGGATAGCAGTGATTATGTAGCCCAGGCTGACCTCAAACTTGTGGCCATTCTTCTAACTCAGCCTTGAGTGCTGAAATTACAGGTATGATCTACCACACCCAACTAAAAGTCTTTAAAGCATGTGTATGGTTCACATTCTATTTTGATTTGTTTTTTGAAATGGACTCTCCCCATGACCCCAGCTGGCCTAGAACTTACTATGTAGACTAGGCTGGCCTCAGTCTTCCAGAGATTTGCTCCCTACTTTGGACTCTAGACAATGTTTCCCTCCACTTAATGACCTTATTACAATGAGATACTTAACATTCACTTTTCTGGCCTGGCATTTTGCTCAGGTGGCTCACTCCACCAAGAGTACTCACCCCTACCTGCTCACAGACCACCCTGTTGGACTTTTTGGTTTGTCTCAAGTGCCTGTCTCCGGAGGCCTACTCACATGAAATGTTGATGATATCTACCTGCTCCACACTCTCTGGTTACCATTTGCTTGTCCTTTCTGATAAACCCATCATGGCCTGAAAAGACTCTAAGTGGAAACTGCATTTAGTACACCTGGCCTACTGAACGCCACAGCTTAGCAGTGCAGCTCAGTTCAGAGAGCCTGGCGTCTGCTCTCAGGATCGTGTGATGGAGTGGTGACTGTCACCTGCTGCCCAGCATTACGAGAGTGTCTTACCATATGTTGCTAGCCTGGAAAATATTAAAATCCAAACTTCAAATATAGTTTCTTTTATTGCTTGATTGGTTTTTTTTGTTTGTTGTTGTTTTGTTTGTTTGTTTGTTTGTTTGTTTGAGATAAGATCCTGCTATGTAGCCCTGCCTGGATAGAACTCACTATATAGATCAGGCTGGCCCCAAATTTACAGTGACCCTCCTGCCTCTACCCTTGAGTACTGGAATTACCACCATGTTCAGCTATTTATTTTGGAGACAGTCTTCCTATATAGCCCAGGCTGGCCTTGAACACTCTTTCCTCCTGCCTTAGCCTGCAGAATGCTGTGATTATAATCATGCACCACCACTCCTGGCTCTGAAGTATGGATTTGCAGAATGCTTTTGTACCATTGTAGAGTCAAAATTTTGTAAGTGAAACCATCGTTAGTAGGAAACTGTATGTGACTACCCCCACCCCGTAAGAGAGTAGACTATGTTCATTGCTCTGTTTACTGAACTCAGCGCAGTGCTTCGCTCATATCTGGCCTTCAGTAAGCGTTTCCAGAGTGGCCAAATACATCAGCTTTAAATCAAATGAAGATTGTTTAAACTGGGCCCAGTGTGATTTGCAAAGTGAGCACAATACGGGATTAGCACCGTGCTATGCATTGGGGATGTGGCACAGACCTTGGTAGCGTTCAGAGAAAAGAGTCAGCAGCCAGAGCTGTCCTGCTACTGTGCCGAGCCTTGTCCCGTTCGCTCTGAGGAAATAGCCCCACAGGGTTGGACACCCAGCAGCCTCAAAGCTTGGGCTCGCTAGTGGCTAGTGGCTGGGGACTACAGATGGTTACCGGAGAGGCGGTGCATCTGTGCGCTTCTGTTTCTGAAAATCAGAGCAGCCATGCCTGACAACTATGATGGTGGGCAGCATCGGGACATATTTTTCTAGCTGTGGAAAATTCTAAGTGAGAAGATGGCTGGAGTTCAGAAGGGCCGGCCTCTTAGCACATCGTTAGATTACAAAAGCAACCTATAGGCCAGTATGTACAGCAGATGTTCATTTTTGTTTATGTTCCCCTGCGGTCATGCAGGGGAAAAGGCAAATATATCCTGAACAGTTAACCTTGGGGAGATGGCTCAGTCAGTAAAACGCTTACTGTGCCACTGTGAGGTCCTGCGTTCCAATCCTCAACTCCCATATGAAAAGCTGAGTGTGACTCTACATTTAACATATGTTCTTGTTCCTTTATATACATCAACTCTCTTCCTTATTAGTCTTTGCAGGATGCACCCTACAGGCACAGAATGGATGAGGCACAGTTAATGTAACCATTTGTCTATTGGTGGGTGTTTAAGTTTCTCTCGTTTTTCTCAGTGTAATAAATACTGCTGTTAGGAACATCTTTTTTTTCCTCATATCTTTATATATTTTTGAGCAATTGTTTCCATGGGATACACCCTATATGAGTAACAAAGGCTGATTTCAATGCTGGAGAATCTGATGTCAGGACTAACCAAGTAGACCACATGTCGTAATCTCCTTGCAATAGTCAGCACTTCCTTAACCTCTTTGAAAGAACCTTTATTAGGGCACCTGTTAGAAACCAGGCAATTTATTTACATCATCCTTCTTTATTCTCCAATAAACCCTTAAGAGACAGGCATTATTTTCATAAGCTATAGGAAAAAGGTCCTGAGAGGTTAACTGAATGGTCCAAGTTCATGGAGCTAGTAAGAGGCAAAGCCCAGCTTTGTACCTCATCCATCCTATGTTGTGCTCATTTCGCCTTTTTAGAAATAATAAGGTCTAACGGCATGGCTAACAACAAGTGCCATAGTCGAATGAAACTCTGTTCTCAATGGCATCCAAATTCTAGGCAACTGTGAAAGGCTCCTTCACCCAAACCACTTTCTGTGGAGCCTGATAGGCCAACTGATAGAATCTGCCCACTGAGTAAGGTGACCTATCCCCTAGGACAACAACTCATATGCACAGGCAGCATTACAACATCATTATGAAACAAGATGCTACCAATTATTCAGAAAACACATCTAGCAAGCTTCCAAAGGAATGAGACATGGGACCAGTAAGATTTTATGGAGGAGGGGAAACAGGAAGAGAAGGGTAGTTACATAGCAGGATGGTCTTACAGGGTGTCGCTGTGAGACACTGAATAACTAAGGGACATGGAGAAGCCAGAGGCAGATAGGACATCACCAGTAGTATACCTCACCACCCAGGTCAGGCCCGAGCCCAAGTACTGCACTGATGAGGTCATGGACAGCAGAGCAGGGAATCTTGTCACGTGTGTGGCTCATTTCCCACAGAATGCACATCCCATCTCTGTTATGAGTTCTACAAATGCTGCTGTGTATCACCAGGGCAGTGATGTGTGACACTGTAGCTGACTGAGTAGGACTCAGTCCCGACCATGACCACCCTTCAGCGGCCCTTCGCCCGAGTCTGCTCAGAGTCACTGTCAGACTGAGGCAGGAGGCAGCTTCGGGATATTTGGTTGGGAACATTGAGACTGGCTTGCAAAGGGAATGGACATTTTCTAGTAGTGGATTTCTGGAAACAGCCTGGACCAAAGCATCCTCTTCTCTCTTACTTAAATGGGATGTGTTTATCTCCTTTCAGAAGAAGCGCACGTTGAAGGGCTCCATTGAACTCTCCAGAATCAAATGTGTGGAGATTGTCAAGAGTGACATTATCATTCCATGCCACTATAAATACCCATTTCAGGTAAGCACATCACGAGTAAAGTGGATCACTTCCTGTTCCTGGACCATGGTTAGAATCCTCAGCCATTGTGAGAAAAGGTGGGAAAGGCTAAGAACTTAGCCCAAACCTACAAGAAAGCTGCTGTGCTGTTCTTCCAACCAGTGACCTCCATTTATTCATTCCACAAAGGCACAGACTCATGAAAAAGCTCTTTTTCTCCCTAATGCTGGAGCGTAAACCCAGGACCTTAGACATGCTCTGCAAGTGCTGTACTATTGAGCTACACTACAGCTTTGAAGAGGTCCTAACTCCTCTGCTTCTGTGACAACACCGTCATCCTTGGTTATAAATTGCCTTGGTTATAAATGGCCTGGAGTTTATGAGATTTCACAGTCTGAAAACCATCTGGAGATGACTATGCTATCCAAAATAGCAGCCACTCATTGAATGTGAACGTTTGTATTTAAGTGACAATTAATCAGAATTAAATGCTATTAAAACATCTAGCTCCCAAAATAAAGTAAATAAATAAATAAAATTTAAAAGGATAGGTGAGGTGGCTATGCAGGTAGAAGCACCTGGGTACAGGCCTGGCAGCCTCAGTTCAGTGCCCAGATACCCCAAAGTGGCTGGGGAGAACCAGCTTCAGAGAACTGTCACTATACACACACACACACACACACACACACACACACACACACGGAACAGGAGGGGGGGGGGGGGGGGGAGCACACATACATATGAAAGAAAGAAAAAGAAAGAAAGAAAAAAAGAAAGAAAGAAAAAAAGAAAGAAAGAAAGAAAGAAAGAGAGGAGGGAGGGAGGGAGGGAGGGAGGAAAAAGAGGAATAAGTTTAAAATTTATTTAAAAATTCAGCTCCTCAGTCACTCTGGTCCACACTGTACATGTTAAGTAACCACAGCTGCTAAGGTGTCCTGTGTTAACAGCCCAGTTCATAGACATTTCTCACTGCTGAAGGTTCCCTTGAGCAGAGCTAGTCAGTTACCTTTAGTCTTTATCTTGTTTACCACCCTTGGTGCTTACAGTTCCAAAGGAGGAGTATTTCCTCCCTCATCCCAGGGTATCTTTCTTGTTTGCCAGCTGAAGGACAAATATTCCTAGATTTTTTTTCCAGTGGTGGGAATTGAACTCAGGATATTGTGTGCATGCTAGGAGCATTCTCTGTCTTTGAACCACATCACCAGCTCAAACATTGTATTTTTAATGAAGCAAAGAAAAGAGGTTTTTTTTTTCTGTTTGGGTTTTTTTGTTTGTTTTCTACTAGAAAAGTAGCCTCCACGATTTGAACTTTTCCTTCTTCTTGTCCTCCCCCTTCCCTCTCTCCCTCCCACCCTCCTTTCTCCCATATCATTATGTAACCCAAGCTGGCTTAAAACCCGTGTTCCTCCTGCCTCAGCCTCCCAAGAGCTGCAACTACAGGATGCACCATCACACCCAACCTGAGTTGGAAGTTTTAAGAATGAAAGTTAAAGGAATGACATGAATTCCCCAGTAATTAAAAATCCCAATCATAAATGAGTATGTGGAAAAAAACTAATGAAATTTCAAAGAGCTGTGGCTTGCTTAATAGTTTTATACCCTTGTCAGATTCTGCAAGATGTCATCATTGAAGAAAAGTTAGTGAGCCCACATGGGAAAACTACTGTCTGGGGAACTACTTGTGGATCTTATTTTGAGACAGGGTCTCACAATATAGCCATGACTGGCCTGGAACTCATTTTGTAGACCAAGCTGGCCTTGAACTCACAGAGATCCTCCTGCCTCTACCTCCTGAGTGCTGGGACTAAGGGCATGCGCCACCACACTTGGCTAAATAGGAATTTTTAAAACATCTTGATTACATGTTTGTCATCTAATAACTTACTCTTACATAGGCTAGGAAGGGTTTTTCTAATTACTGAAAACTTAAGATGAGAAAAATCATGTCATCTAGTCAATAGGAGAATTTTCTCTTGCTGTTTAAATTGGGCAAATGCCCACTGGTGTCATGGTATCCGAGACAAGCCACCTGCACTGTGGAGGGTTACCTTGATGACACGGCAGAGGAAAAGCACACTGGTTACCTAGTCACCCAGATTTGCTTAAATGATAGCAATTACCAAAGATCCCCCCCTCAGGCCCATAAGGCTGGGTGGGCCTGCTGTGGTTTCCTCATCAATGGGCACCTCTCACCTTGGACTCTTGTGTGTCTCCAGGTCATGCATGACAACTACCTTCTATATGTGTTTGCTCCAGACTGCGAGAGCCGGCAGCGCTGGGTGCTGGCCCTTAAAGAAGGTAATTAAACTTCTACGCCATTGATCACTGGGACCTTTGTCCCGTGCTGGACTTGAGTGCCACGATAGCACAGACTGGGGCTGGGGGTAGCTTGTATGAAAAATGTCTCCCTTTTGCTGTACTGAAGATTTTGAGTTTTTATACTGGGCCCAGGAGTATCAACAAGTATAATTTAGGGATTGGCCAAATCCAGCCTGCCACCTGTTTGTGTAAGGCTCCAAGATAAAAACAGTTTCTGTATTTTTAAATCATTTCAAAAGACTATAGAAGAACCCACATGATAGCCTTGATTTTGCCTCTTGGCCAGCCAAACCCAAAATATTTACTATCTAGCATTTTAAAAATAATGTTTGCTTACTCCTAGTAAGCCTAGTAAGCGTGGGAAACCCCACAGGTTGCAGCACTTGGGTTTACATCCTGGCTCTTCCATCTACTGTGTGCTCTTGGGCAAGTTCCTTAACTGCTCTGGGCTTTACTTTCCCCATCAGTAAACAAGAAAGGAAGGGGGAATAACAGAAACCTGTCTCCAGAGCTGATGGGCATAAAACTCTTAGAACTGGTGGCATAGCCAGTGCCCAGTTAGTTAGTTAGTTAGTTAGTTAGTTAGTTGTTTGTTTGTTTTTGAGACAGTATCTCATGTAGCTCAGTCTAGCTTCCAATTTGCTCTGCAGCTGAAGCTGGCCATGAACTCCTGATCTTCCTGCCTCCACTTCCCAAATACCAAAGTTGCTGATGTGTGCAATGTGCCTAGCTAGCTATTTCTTAAGCTTCACATTCCTGACAGCATAATTAGAACCCACACAGTGTTGAGGTCTATGGGCTATGGACCAGGCTGCTAAGGCAAAAAAAAAAAAACCTAAAACTGCCAATTGTTAGTGTTTGACCTTGACCTTGGCCAAGTCCATTCACCTTTGTGTCTCCATTTCTTCAACCATAGACTTCAACTAAGCACAATCATAGGGTTGTTACGTGACTGAAATGAGCTATGAGCTAGGACACATAAGGCACATTTAACAGTCCTCGCACCACACAACAGCACTTGATCAATGTTTCTAGTCTTATGTTTAGCCTGAAGCACACTGTGTGTCAGGAGACCTGGGTTCAAATACTGCCTCATATCTAAGTAGCTGTCAGGAGTAGGAACAAGCAAGCCCCTTACTTTCTCTGGAGGCATGATTCCTCTGTCTGAAAAATGGGGGTAAAATGGCAAGTTTTACCTGCTTCCAAAGTAAAAAAGAAAACGTGCACATTTACTGTTGAGGTGAGAGAGATGGAAAATAGCCCTCCTGGCTTCCCTTTTGCTCCTCAAGGTACCTTATGAACATACTCATCCAGTCTGATGACACACAGCCAACTGGAGGAAGATCTAAACACCAATCTAGATCTGTCCCTGCCTAGTCTAACCCAGGATCCCTTAGTAAACAGCACAATGGATTGGTTTGCCATTTTTCTGTCTGTTCTGAGCAATCCTCTCCCAGGCCACACTGCAGGTCCAGTCTCAGGGAGCCATGTGATGGTGGTCCTTGATAGGCTGCCCTGGAAATAACTTGTCTGCTGATGCCAACTCTTTCAGAAACAAGGAATAACAACAGTTTGGTGTCCAAGTACCACCCTAATTTCTGGATGGATGGGAGATGGAGGTGCTGTTCCCAGATGGAGAAGCTTGCAGTAGGCTGTGCTCCCTATGACCCAACCAAGAATGGTAAGACTTTGAGAAAGAGCTAACGAGGAAGAATCTCAGCTTTCCATCAGCAGGGTGTCAGAGACTCTATCAAAATTCTCCATTTCCCGACTTTCAGAGGGTCATCACCTGCATCCACCACCTCTCTGTTCATGCTCTTCCCTTCAGAGCTGATATCTGTATGCCTCCCTCCTGATACTGAGAGTGTCCTCTTAGTCAGCTGTCCATATCACCTGGGAACTAGGTAGAGGTGCAAGACTCTGGTCCTACCTGATCTACTGGATCAGAATATGCATGTTAATGAATATATAACACTATTTCCTTATTTCTCACAGTGACATCACAGCTCACACATGTCTCATTGTACAAATTCAACTCTAAAAACTTGAAAGAGAAGGAAAACTTGTATCTTTTAATTGTGTGGTTTCTTTCAGTCTCCACTCCAAACTGGCCTTGACCTACTCAGTCTCTGAGAAAAGAGGTCTATAATCTCAGTGCAAAGCAGAAACAGAAGAAGCTCTTTCTTGGCCTTTGCTGTCAAAGACTTGGGGCCTGAGCTTGGACTGTGTCTTGATTTTTACATGTGATGGCAATTTGGAGACCTCAGCCTCCATCAAATTTCCACTGCGCTTGAGTGCACTTTAGCAGCATTGGCCTGTTTTTCACAGCTGTCTGGGGTAGACAGTGTGTGAAGGAAATGGACAGCCCTGAGCAAGTCAGCATGCTGCAGGTCACGCAGCTGGGAGAGCTCAGCGTAGCCATTGCAGGATAGACATGAGCACCTGTCCTACATCCTCTTTCCTCTCCTCTCAGCCTCTTTTCTTATTAGTTACATATATACATCTACATATATTTATATACACACATACATATTAGTCCATTTAGTGCTGCTCGTATGTACATGTTTTTAGGGCTGATCACTTGGGACTGGATAACCTATTAAAGAGCTCCTCCCTGGAGAAAACTGATTCTCCTTCTCTAAGTAGTGATTGGTCACCTGTTGTTCTTCATCTAGAGATGGGACCTTGTGAAATTTTCACCCTCTATGTTGGCATCCCAACTAGTGTTGTAATATGCAGATCTTCTTTAGGCAACCATACTGTTGAGATTTCATGGGTTCGACTTCCCTGTCATACCTGGAACACATGTAGCAAGTATCCTGGTCCTCTAGCTCTTACAATCTTTCTGCCCCCTCTTCTGCAACTTGTCCTGAACCTTTGATGTAGGGGTGGCGTTTTAGATGTATCAATTGGGGTTGGACATATCACTATCACTTATTCTCTGCATTTGGACCAGTTGTGGATCCCTGTAATGGTCTCCATGTGCTGCAAAAAAGAAGCTTCTTTGGTGAGGAGAGAAAGCTACACTTCTCTGTGGGTGCAGTATTTAGGATATAGTTAGAAATTACTTTGGTTTAGGAAAATGGCAGTAGTAGGTTCTCCTCTAGGGTCTGTGACCTCTCCAGCCACAGGTAAGGACTGGGTTTACAGTACCAGGCATGAATTCTTTCCTACTGAACAGGCCTAAAGTTCATAGACAGTTGCTGGTTACCCCTAAGATAAAAGTGCCACTATTGCACCATTGAGGATATCTGGCTGATCTGGTCATTGTTGTGGTTTTTAGACTTTACAGCTGGGTGGGGCTGTTGATTGCTTTTCTCCCTTGGCAACTTGCATAGCGCCTTCCAACATTGTGAGTGCTGGTTCTCAGGAAAGATGCTTCCAGGTCAGTTCCTGGTTGATTCCACCAACTCCTGTCTAAAGTGTGGTGTCTTTGGCAATAGGGTCTTAACTTTGGTGTCTTTTATGCACTAATGCAAGGCAGACACAGCACATGGATGGATTTTCCATGGGTTTTTGAGTCACAACTCCTCAGCATCACTTTTAAAATCACCACATCTCACCCCGCTCTTGAAAAAGAAAGGATCAAAGTCATCAGTCTGTCAGCCTGCATGAATAATATTTAGCACTTGTGGAGGTCCCTTAGCCCTATTGGTCTTGCTTCCCATATCCAGGGAAAAGGAACAGAAGGTTGATTGGGTGGATCTCCTTTGGGATGGGGATGCAGTCTGGCTCTGAGGAGAAGCTCTCCCACAAGGAGCCACAGCTGGGCTCCAGTTCCTGTCAGCACCAAGCTGTAGACCCTTGGAAGAATCTTGGCTGCCTAGGACCCTTATGTCTTCAACTCTAAAACGGGAGGAGAAATGCCAGAGGCCCAAGAGGACCTAATCCCCACACCCACTTCCAAGTGTGGACCTCTGAATCTATTTCCGTTATGCAGTTTTCACCGTGTGGGCTGCAGCTGCTCCTCTCCAGGGTGTGCAGGCTTTCCCTCACCCTGAGACATGTGACTGAGGGGTTAAGAGCAGTTGAATAACTCATCATGACTACCCTTGGAGAGGGCTCCTCCCCACGAACCCCAGCACAGGAACACTTCTCAGCCACTGCTATGGGTGTGAGGTGTAGCTGGTCAGTTGAAAACTTTGCTTGTCACAGCAACCCCTGCCATCTTTTCTGACTTAATTAAATTGCATCACTCACCATAGCTTTGGCAGGATTGCAAGCAGTTTTTGAGAAGTGTGTTGTACTGCGTACACAGCATGTTTGTGTTCCTGGGGTGAAGGCTCAAAAGATTCCTGGTGTTGGTTACATTGACAGCATGAGGTGTATGAGCACAGGGCTTTGGAATAAGAAAAGAATCAATGCCTGGGATGTGTCCTAGCCGCATCCTTTCCTTGTTGTGTGGCTATGTAATCCTTAACTTCTCTGAGCCTCTGAGGCAGTTTCTTCATAAACGGGGAGAATAATAGGCAGCTATTTGGGGGTGATTGTTGGGAGACCCATTGGGGTCATAGACAGCTTTTAGCATAATGATGGTTCCTACTGAGCTCTCAATAAATGGCAGTCATGTCCACTGTCTTTTCTTATTTGTGGATAAAAGCACCTGTGGCTGAGGTAGCAGTAGGGGAGCAGCTGGGAGACATAGAATGGATAAGAGGAAATGACCCTGCTACAGCCAGTCCACAGCAACCTGCTAGAGCCAGGCCTAACCACGTTACACACCCATACCACACAGGGAAAATCAGGACGGAAAGAGCAAGCACAGGAGAAAGCGAAAGTGACCAGTCACAGGATGTCCAGGACTGGTAGGAGTTCATGCTGATGTTGCTAGGGTTAGACCAGTTTCCTGACTCCAGGTTGCATGCTAAATAGAAACTACCAGACCTGTGTGTGTGTGTGTGTGTGTGTGTGTGTGTGTGTGTGTGTGTGTGTGTGTATGTGTGTGTGTCTTGCTGGTGATGGAATTGGGGGCTTTTGCATCCTTAAAAAGTGATCAACCACTCAAAGCTCTGGGATTCTGTATGATTGTTTTGTCTGTTCACTCTGTACACAAGCCAATACCCTAGCCTTCCTTTGCTCAAGAAGCCAGCATGGAGCTGGTTGCCAGTATCAACATGTGAATCTTCTCCACCACATCACTGATGTGGGCTATCCAACTTCAAGTCTACTGCATATAGGGATGAGAATTAATTTCCCTGCTCATCTGTATGGCCCATTTTCTTACCTCTAATGCATAAAGAGATCTTTGTACTGAACTGAAAGCTGTACACCCTTCCCATAACCTCCCTCACACTCCCAACATGCACATGCAATTGTGGTCCATTGCTTCTAGGTCTGGTCTGTGGTGCGGTCCATAGATCAGTTGAGAGACAGAGATGAAAGGAAGCAGAGGATGAGCAGAGAGACAAGAAACAAGAGAAGAGAAAAGAGGGAGGAATGCTAAGCAGGGAGTGGAGGGAGATAGACAAATGAGGTGGGGGAGACAGATGTTGAAGGTGTGTAGTTTGAGGGAGGCAGCAAGAACATATATTTAAAAGCCTCAAGGCAACTAAAAGCAGACCTCAGCCCACTCAGAAAGCACAGTGCCCTCACACCTCATCTGCCCCCTCCTCAAGCCCACAGTGGCACCAGGGAGTCTGAGTCACTGTCCCTGAGTCACAGATTCCCACGCCTGACTTCAGCAGGTGGTAGATATGTAGGGAATCACTCTATCTACAGGAAAGGACCCCAAATTTTACCCTCCCTCCCAATGAGGGGATCCAGAAGGAGATCTCAGAATATTATTTTCTGGTGTCTTCTAGGAAAAGGGAATTGGAGACCAACAACTGCAGTAAATGAGACAGGTCGTGCCAAGGTTGATTCGGTCTGTTTTTCATCTCCCTCTGCCTGTTTTCTTCCACTGCTCTCCTTTGGGCCCCTTTTCTCTGAAAGCCCGGGGTTTCATGCTCATCTTCTGTTGTTCTTCTTTCAGCTTCAAAGAAGCCTCTTCCTCCTACTCCTGAAGACAACAGGGTAAGTGAGGGCTCAAGCACCAGGTGGGTGGGCCCACTTGCTGTAGCCTGACTATGGCGTGTCTGTGTTTCTCAGACTGCAGGCAACGTGGTTGAAACTCAGTCATACTCGAGCCATTCTGTGGGTCTATCCACTTAAAGAACCACTCAGCTTCTGAACTGCTACCTCACTGCATTCACTCCGCAAGCACTGGTACCAAGCTGTCTTTACCCTAGACTCAACAGAGCACTTCACAGGCATATATATGATCATATTTTATATATTTCAAAGCACTTGCACATTTTTTACTATGTTAAAACTCTCTTGCATCCATTTTGGAGGGCTATAATTTTATTCTTTCATTTAAACTTGGAAAATCAAGTGCAAGAGAGGTCCTGAGGCTTCCTCAAGGCCATTCAGCCACTAACAGGACCTGAAGTTTCTGATGTAAGGGTTCATCTGGAGTGGTGGTTCTCCAGGCATGGCCTATAGGCCACCAGCATCAGCCACACTAGAGAGCAAGGGAGGAAAGCAGAGCCCAGGATTCACCCAGACCTGCTAGCACCACAGCTCTGGAGGAGACGCTTCACCTGCATGTTGATAAGTTCCTGTGAAGCTGAGACACATTCAAACTTGAGAATCACTGGTCTGTAGTATATTGAATTACAAGACTGGTACAGCAATAACTCTAGAGAAGACAGAAAAAAAAGATAGGAAAATGATCGGCCTTCACCTTATGATCATGTTGACATCAGTGCCCACATCCAAGTTCTTGCCCTCTATTCCAGAACCTGCCAATTTGGTTCTCTCACACTTCTTCCTGAAGAATAAGCTCTGATTTCCTCCTCCAGCTAACATGGTGACATTTCGGAACTGGGAGCCTCCTCATAAGGGAAGCTCTGAATCCTCTTCCAGCCTCAGGCTAATTTTTAGATCTCTCATCAGCTGGCTCTCAGACACCACATCAGAGGTACACTGGCATTGTCGCAGTGCAGTGGGCCGCTGGTCTGTTACTATCCTCAACCTTCTGAGGACCTCTTCAACAGCCTTCTTGCAGATGTGCTTTGGAAGCCCCCTACCCTCTCTTCCCCCCCCCGCCCCGGGGAGGCCCACCTAGCCCTACAGCTCTTTCTGGTCAGCCTGTTCGTGCCTTGCTCTCAGAGGTAATGAAGGTGAAAGCCAGAAGATGATGGTTGCTCATCACTCTTTGGACTCCACTATCGGGATTTCTGGGTTTCTTGAGGGTACAGCATCTATGGTTTTATGAGCACTCTTACCACAGGGGTTTTGAGTACTTGCCCTAGTGTCAGTCACCTGTTTAGAGCCAGTGCAATATCCCCCTTACTCCTTAATACTTGAAGTCATTTCTCTCTAACCCCTTCCTTAGCTCTTACAGGACAACGGCATCTCAAGTTGTCATCTAGAAAACGAATGTTTTAAACCATGCTTCCAGGCCTCATGCTTTGTTCTCGTTTCATTTTCTTGTTGCTGTGATAAAATACCCTGACCAAAAGCAACCTAAGGGAAGATAGGGTTTGTCTGGCTTACAATTTCAGGTCCTAGTCCATCACTGAGGGGAAGTCAATGCAGGAACTTGGAGGTAAGCCTGCCTGCTGTTCCACACAGCAGCACTTCCGCCCAAATGACTCAGTTCACAGCCAGAAAAGTGCAGCAGGAATCACAGACGGTGCCACTTGGTGGCAGGCAGGCAGGCTTATGCCCAGCTAGCTTTATCATACAGTTCAGGACCACCTGCCCAGGAAGGGATTGGTGCTGTCCTCAGTGTTCTGGACCCTCTTACATCAATTAACATCAAGACAACCCCCTACAGACATGCCCACAGGCCAAGCTGATCTAGGAAATTCCTCCATTGAGATTTTCTTCCCAGATAATTCTAAATTGTGTTGACAGTTAAAGCTAATGAGCATATGCTTTATGTGAGGAAGGCTGTAGAGCTGTCTACCCATCTATCAGGCTCTGTAGCCTGTGGGTGCAAATGAGGCATGTCCTGATGTCCAGACTCCAGTTCCCCTTGGTCCTCTCATCCACAGGAGCTCAGCTCTTCATGTTGGACTCTCCTAGTCAACCTAGAAGAGCTTCCTGAGGGGCCACATGAGAATCTATCTGCTTGTGCCCTTCTCCCTGGCTCCCAGTCAAGGAACTCTTTCCTTTTGTTGCTGCCTGGGCTGTGAGTTCTCAGCACAGCAGAACTCTTCCCACCTACAGACAGGAGAATTCCCAAGGGCTTGGGCAACTCTTAGGTGAAGGCCAAGCCTCCCCTTCTTACCTGGGCCCCAACAACCTCTCTTGAGCCCGTGGACCCTCTATTTCTACAGATATCAACTCTTGATTTAATTTAGTCATTCTCAACCAAGGCTTCCTATTTATGAAAAATGCTTTTTTTAAAGATACTTTTGTTAGCCTGAAAAGAATCATAATAGGGCCTGAAAAGATGGCTCAGTGGTTAAGAGCACTGACTATTCTTACAGGGGACCCAGGTTTGGTTGCCAGCACCCACATGGTGGCTAACAACTGTTAACAACAGCAAACCTGCCCGGCTTTGCTGGGATTAAAGGCATGCGCCACCACGCCCGGCCCCACACCTCAAATTTTGTAACATTCTGAATACTCATGTGATCTATGTGACCCCTGTGGAAATGTACCTCTTTAGTCTAAGAACTCTGCTCTGAACTTTCTCTTTATAGGCGCTAATCAGGGAGTTTGATCTACAGAGAGATGAACACCATGCCATATTTCTCCTGTATCTTTCTCGGGTACCCTTAAACACAATTCCTCCCTCCATTAGTTCTAAGTGAAACCTGGGTTCACAGACTTATCTGGAGGACCCAGTCCACCACCACCTCACAAGCTCCATAAATGCCTAGACTTCAGTATACTCAAAGGACTTGTGACTTCCCAACACGACATCACCTTCTAGCCAGCAAGTCAGTCTTTTCCCATCTTTACTCTGTTCCCCCAGTCTGCCACCTGTTCTCACCTGTGCTCATCCTGAATTCTGAAATCACTCTGTGAGCTGCTCTTCGTGTTCTCATGGTCTCCTCCTAATTGAAAGGTGCTGTGGGGCAGAAGCATAGGCCAGTGTTTCTGCAAGAGGAAGAAAGGAACATGTGCTATTATGGGGGGAGTGCTGGGATGAATTCTTGCCAAGTTGGCCATGTTCATTCCCGCTATGGGGTCTGAGTCTCCATCCTAATTGAGAGAGTGGGCAAAATGTTCTGTCAGGGAATTCCAGCTGTGGTAGGCTATGATTTGATGGGTCTGGGCAAAGCATGGACCAAGTAACTTAGTCTTGGCTGTGTCTCCTTCTCCAGAACATGATGCTTCCAGAAGGGAGGCTGGAAAATACAGCCTGGGGCCGGTAGAGAAACCAGCAGACTTTTGGCTTCTCAAATTTCACTGTGGTCATAATTTTGCATCTGTGCAGCACCATGATTCTAACTCATAAAGAATGCCAAGTTGAGGGATGCGGTTTTCTCTCCAAATACTTGCTGCGAATTGAGGGAGCTGGTATGTTGACCTGGCCTAGGAGCTAGTTACAGCCCAGGAACTTAAGACACCTTGCTTTGTGTTTCACTTCCTTTTTTGTCTCTGCTTGGTTTTGTTGTCTTTTCCCCAGCGGTCACTTCAGGAACCTGAGGAAACCCTGGTCATCGCCTTGTACGATTACCAAACCAGCGATCCCCAGGAGCTTGCGCTGCAGCGCGATCAAGAGTACTACCTGCTGGACAGCTCCGAGATCCACTGGTGGCGAGTTCAAGATAAGAACGGGTGAGGTCTTCTCCTCATGCTACCCCAGTATTCCAAGCTCTGTGGGATCAAAGGAATATGGGATTGCTTGCCCCACCTCCCTCAGCTGCCCCCAGGATAAATTAGGAGAACTGAGCTGAGCACAGTGGGAGGGGCAGTGAACCAGCAGTGAAGGACTTTCTTCAGAAGTGACTGGGAGGTTCCAGGTTTATAAACTTCAGTGTAACCCTTCCCTGCCCTAAACACGTCTAAAAGCACCTGTATTTTTACACTGACATTGGCAGTTTGGGAGATGGGCAACTCGCTCTGCAAAACACTGACATTCTTGAGTGTTTAAGTGCAGCTAAAGGTACATCACACGGTGAAGTCAGTGGAAAGAAAAGGTGTGTAGAGATGGCACAGATCGGCAGTTGTGTTAGAAAGATTCAATTGGTGCCAGAGATTTAGTAGTGCAATCCCTAAATGATTAATGGAAAAAATAAGATTCTACAAGTACTGATTGCCTACTATGGGATTTTTGAATGAAAAATATCTCATGAGCTCTTCTCTAATCTGAAACAATCTAAAAATTCTTATATATTAAATGTCAATATTATGAGATTATTATTAATTTCAAAACATGAAAAATAAAATATTAGTACCCCACATCAATATTTCTCCAAAAAAAGAGAAAAAAACCCACCTAAGGTTGAGAGAAGAGCACAATGATAAGTGTTTTTATGTAACATGTGCAATGTTCTGAACAAAAAGAAGACATTTAGAAAGTAAATTAACCATAGAAAGAGGTATACATAAAAAGTCACCATTTGCTGCTACATCAATTCCAAAATCACAGTGATGCTTCCTGGTACATCCTAGACACAAAAGCCCCCCACAGCAAATATGTTCTTTTTGTGCTTAGATGAGCCCTTGTCTTTGTTTTTTGTTTTGTCCTTGAAAGACTTATCTTGAAATTTTTCTTCTCAGTAATAGACTTACCTCTTTTTACCACAGTTGTGTGGTGTTAGATTATACAATTGAATTATAAGTACTTAAATAACCTTTTATGGTGAGACATTTCATTTCCAAATAGTTTCTCTTTTGTTTCAAACAGAGCTTCAGTGAAGATCTTGAAGAGTTTATATATTAGCAGTGTTTTGATTGTATGCATATAGATCACATTTCTAACTATGGAACTCTTGGCTCATGCTAAGTCAGTGTATATATTTCTTCATTTTGATGGATAATGTCCCCTAAAATCATACCAAATTTGCATTCCCCCAACAGAAATATAGGAGAACCAACTGTGAGTAACACAAAGCTTGGAGAGGGTCGGAGGAAAGAAAGGGAAAGAGAGAAGAAGGAGTATGTGTAGGTCGTGAAACTAGAAAGAGACCTGGGGCCAAGGAGGAAGGTGGGGAATTGAGAGAGTATGGAATGCGGGTGAGGAAAAACAGAAGCAAGAGCCGGGGTGAAGGGAGGCAACAGTCCGCACAAGGCAGAAGGGGCTGAGGGCCGTGGAGGGAGCGAATGAGCGTGCTACATAGAGACACAAATATTCACATGAAAAAGCCATGCTGAAATCCATCACCCTGTGTGCTAACCTAGCATTTTGAATGTGAAATAAATATTAAAAGAAGCAAAGCTCATCTGATGCTGAGAGAGAGAGAGAGAGAGAGAGAGAGAGAGAGAGAGAGAGAGAGAGAGAGCGGTATGAGATAATGTTTAACCTAAAGGACTGTTTGCTTTACACTCATTCAATCTTACTTTCTGAAGTTGCCTTACTGGGTAGAGGAAGAGGCAGAAGTGAGGTATGTAAAATGTGATTAGATCAACAACTGTGGTTTGAAAAGTGGGGTAGCTTTCTAGCTAAGAGTAGAGCCCAGAACCCCTCCCCCAGAACTTCTCTGGCTAGCTGATTTTCCTGCTATGGGGAGGCTCCTCTCAGAAGCAGATACAAGAAGACCCAGTCTGTAAATACCACAAGAATTTACTCAGAACTCGCCAACCGTCACCTGGTGTTATTTAGCACACCTAATGTACCAGGAAATTTTTTCTTGTAGCTCATTCCCAAATGACAGTTTACCTTTTGATCTGAGGAAAGGCTCAAACCTGCACTCGGGAAAACCAAAGAGTACCTCTGGAGAGCAACCACTGTTCTGGGGATTTCCTTAGTCAACAGTGTAATAGTCTGGCACTGAAGGAAGAGAGAGGACTTGGACCTCAGTGTCCACTACCGTTGTAGAAGGTGGTCAGAGGCAAGTCATTGGCCCTCTGTGAGCCCACTTCCTTGTCTGTAAAAAGCAGATGATAATACCACCTTTGGTTCACAGTGTTGAGAAACTCAGAGCGATAATAGACGCAACAGAGCTTCTAAATTCTATGTGTTCACATACAAATGATGAGAACTAATGTCATTTGTATAGATAACACAGGATGTGCGTGTGTGTGTGTGTGTCTGTGTGTCTGTGTGTCTGTGTGTGTTCATGTGTGGTCAAGAATAAAGGACAGAGATAAACACTGAATGTCTTCTTCAGCCACTCTCCACCTTATTTTCTGAGACAGGGTCTCTCACTGAACCCAGAGCTAGGGTTTTGACTAGACTGGCTGGTCAGTGAGCCACAGGGATATGTCTGTCTCTACCTTCCCAGGGCTGGGATAACAGACACATGCTGTAGCACCCCACTTTTTATGTGGGTACTGAGGATCCACATTCAGGTCAGACTTGCACAGGAAGTGATTCACCCACTGAGCCATCTCTCTAGTCCCAATAACACAACTGTGGTTAGCATATTAAAATATTCATTTTAATGGGGTATGGTGGAATGCACCTTTAATCCCAGCACTCTAAAGGCAGAGGCAGGCAGATCTCTGTGAGTTCAAGTCCAGCCTGATCTACTTAGCAAGTTCCAGGCCAGCCAGGACTACATAGTGAGACACAGTCTCAGAAATATTATTTTGGTCAATAGCAAAAATGCTATTTATTCCATTAACACACACATATGTATGTATAATGGTATGGAAAATAAAATTAGGAAAAGTCCAAGAGAGGGAGAAATATGGACTAGCAAATTTCGGAACATGCTTTGGCAGGGGTTTCTTGAGTTTTGTGTTAAAGGTGACTCTAATGTGAGCATTCCAATTCTCCAAAGGTATACCATGATTGATTAGCTATGTCTGTCTGGGAATAAGATAAGACAATCATCCTGTACTTGGCATTGCTAATCTTGATTTCTTCAATTTACAAAACATCTCTGACATAGATTATACATTCCCTGTTGAATATAATGATTAGGTTAAAACTTGCCTTATTTTAAAAAATCTGAAGACTTTACAGAGGAAAAAGAAAGAAAATAATAGACATCTTTTTAACACTTTTTGGTAGAGTATAGAAGGATTTCATGTGTAATCAGGTTTAGATCCCTCACTTCATAGGTAAGAATCAGAATCACAGAGAGTTGAAGAGATTATGCCAGTTTCTGGTGTTGAGACATGAACACAAAAGGGCTTCAGGACTACAAAGCTGGGCACAATGTAAAAAGTGTTGAGTCTTATTAATTTCTTTTTTAAATTTGTTTTTGTTTTATGTGTATGAGCATTATGCCTGCATGTGTATAAGTGCATCTGTGTCATGCAGTGTCAGCAGAGGACAGAAGAGGGTGTTAGATCCCCTGGGACTGGAGTTACAGACAGTTGTTAGCCACCATGTGGGTGCTGGGATTCAAACCCAGGTCTTCTGTAAGAACAGTCTGTGCTCTTAACCGCTGAGCCATCTCTCCAGCCCAAGAGAATCTTGTTAATTTATTATGGTTTTTTTCATTTATACACTATTATTAACTTTTGCTCAAAGGTGACTCCCCATCTCTGAATCTAGCCTGACTTTAGCCCTTTTTGGGGGGGTTCACATGGGGTCTCACACAGGGTCTCACACTGGGTCTCACACAGGGTCTCACACAGGGTTCACACAGGGTCTCACACTGGGTCTCACACTGGGTCTCACACTGGGTCTCACGGGGTCTCACAGGGTCTCACAGGGTCTCACACTGGGTCTCACACAGGGTCTCACAGGGTCTCACAGGGTCTCACACTGGGTCCCACACTGGGTCGCACAGGGTCTCACACTGGGTCTCACAGGGTCTCACAGGGTCTCACACTGGGTCTCACACTGGGTCTCACAGGGCCTCACAGGGCCTTACACTGGGTCTCACACTGGGTCTCACACTGTACTGAGGCTGGCCTGAAACTCACCATGTAGCCCAGACTGGCCTTGAGTTCATTGTTTCCCTCTTGCTTCAGCCTCTTACGTACTGAGGTCCCAAGCTTTGCCGTTGTGCTCCGCTTTACCTTATCCTTTTTTCTCATGGTTCTATTCTGAAGAGCTTAAGTAGGAGGGCTTTGAATTTGAAAGCTTATAGTATGTCTGTGGACACTGTGCCAGGACCTGTGGTTGGAAAGTCTTTTTTTTATCTTAATAATTTTGGTTTCCTTGCTTTAAAATGATGGCATAGAGTAGAAAGATTACTGATTATGACAAAACATCATTATAGAAAATAAAGACTGAATGGTATTTTTTTTCTAGTAGAGGAAATTTCACAATGAGAACATCAAGCAGAACCTTTTAAGTTATATTGCCATTTGATAGTTATTCTATTTTGTATTTTAGGGATAAAATACATTGCTTTTAGCAGAGAGCTCACTGCTGCTATTTGTATCAGTTGTTTTATTCTAAAATTCCAAGGAATGTGTACTTCCCTCTTTTAGATGACTCTAGACAGGTTAAATCTATGAAATAAAGATGTAAAAATCAGTTCTCTGCTACTTTAAACACTAACTTCCCTTTTTACAGGCACGAGGGATATGCACCAAGCAGTTATCTGGTGGAAAAATCTCCAAATAACCTGGAAACCTATGAGTAAGATATTTTATTTGTTTTTGAAAAATAGGGTACAATGGCTTCCTCCCTAGGTCAAGTGTAAATTATTAGTTGGCTATAGAAATACCACATGGCTTCTTTCCTGGCCTGCTTTTTTCTCTCCCAATCTCTGAGCACTAAAATGGTGAAGGTTCAGCCCAAACAAGAGGAGGGATGTGTTCCGTGTACCGCTACTCTCCTGTTTCATAGAAGGGTGATTTTTTTCAGGTCCCTTGAAAAGATTGTGTAAAAGAGAAATCTACTGGGAATCCCAGAAATATTGGTGTCACTGGTGTCACTGTGTACACTGAATAAAATATAAACTGACTTAAACATGGTTTAACATAATATCATCAATAGTAGGGAAAGATTAAAACCATAGATGGTAAGTGTCTATTTGGGTCATACTAAGTATTTATCTCCAAGCTGTCATTTAGAAGAAAAATTTATTGATACAGTTTTAATGGAACTTCTATTTGTTTGATAAAATTTGATTATGGTGTACAAAGTACCCTCCGTGTATATGTACTCCCCAGCTTGGGGGCTAGACGGTCCACAGTAGCAATGTGCACACCTACCACTTAGATCTTGTTTCTGCATAACTCTCCCCACTAGAGAGAGGCATAGGAAGCAATGCCTAATACAGATTCCAAGGTTGAGGTAGGGAAAGAACAAGATCTGGGAAGATCTTGTTGCACTAGATGCCCCGGCCAGCAGGGCAGGTGATGGAGACTCGAACTCCCAGGGACCTGGAATGATGGGACAAGAGGCACGAAGAATGACAGCAAGACAAAGAACTCTGATCAAGCTGCCAAAGTTTATTTTTCCATGGGGATTCTTATACGGGCTGAAGCGGGAAGTTAGCTGGGGAAGAGGGAGGGAAGGTGTTGTCTCAACGGGTTAATGAATGTCCCTTAGGATGAGGGGACCTGGTGCCATGGTCTGGTTGCAGGCTAAGGAAATTGGTGTGCTTGTTCAGGCTTATCTTGAGTCATCAGAAAGGTTGCTTATCTTAGGGGGCAGGGAGGACTGATCAGCAAGTTCTCCGGAGGATGCTTGCCCTGGGGGGCAGGGAGGGCTGCCAGGCAGCATGGTCTCCCACAACTAGAAAATTTTAAAAAGTAATTTTAAAAAATTATTTTTGCCAGGCGTGGTGGTGCATGCCTTTAATCCCAGCACTTGGGAGGCAGAGGCAGGCAGATCTTTGTGAGTTCAACGCCAGCCTGGTCTACATAGTGAGTTCCAGGACAGCTGGGGCTACAAGGAGAGCCTGTCTCAAAAAGAAAAAAAAATATTTTTAAAAAACTGGGCTTGATAGCCCATGTCTTTAATCCCAGCACTCAGGTGGCAGAGGCAGGCTGATCTCTGTGAGTTCAAGGCCAGTGTGGTCAACATAGCAAACTCCAGGCCAGCCAGGGCTATACAGTGAGACCTTGTCTCAAAAACACCCTGTCTCAAAAACAAAAAACAAAGTGAACCAAAAAACAAGTTCTTTTTAATGGTGTAATCACATCAAACAGGCATGGAAGTAAAATTAAAAAACTCCCACTGACCAAATTGGAACAATTTGAGTATCAAAATAGGTAAGGGTAGTAGTGGACTCATTGAGCAAAATAATGATCTATAAGAAATAAATTAATAGATAAGTAACTAAATAAAACAAAGTTAATGCTAACTAATGGATGCAAAAATGATGATAAGCTTGAAAATCACTGTTTGTAACTCAAAGTATCAATTCAAGCAAAATTTGTCAGTGAATGTCACAAACAGGGAGTAAAATGTGATGATGCAGTGTGCTTACAGGTTCAAAGTTATTCTTTCATAAATCAGTTGTAACTACAAAATGGAGACAACTGGTAGACCTGATCTTATGATTAATATACCAGTATGGATCCCAAATATTATCTGTTACTCCTTTCTGAAAGCATATACATGTTATTTTAGTCATGAGAATAAACCAACAATCCAAATTAAGGAATATTCTATCAAATAAGTAGCCTATAATATTTTTTAAAATTAAGTATGGAAGCCACAAAAGGCCAAGAAATTGATCTATGTTAAAGGAAACTAAAGAGATATGGTACCTAAATGCACAGGTGATCCTGGATTAGACCTGGAACCATGAAAATATTATATTACCAACATGTATTAGAGAAACTGATAAAAATTTTTGTCAGGACTACAATTAGACAAAGTATTGAATAGATGTTAAAATTCATGGAAATAAACAGTATTTTAGGAGTAAAAGTCAATTCTCAAGTAGTTCAGGAAAAGTATATACCAGTGCTATGAGATGGCTCAGCAGGTAATGGGCTTGCTGTACAAGCCTGATGACCTAAGTTCAAGCCATGGAGCTCACATGAAGGTGAAAGGAGAGACTATTGCCACATAGTTGTCCTCTGTCCTTCACATGTGAGCCCCTCCCACACACATCATGCACACACAGTAATAAATACTTTAAATATGCCTACTCATATGTTTAGAATAAACTTTTAGCCACTGGTTCATCTAGGTGAAGGGTCTGTGGGCATTCCTTTATACTATTTTATGGCTTTTCTACAAATATGAAATGATTTTTTAAACTTTATTGTTGTGTGTGTGCATGCGTGATTGTGTGTTAGACTGTGGGTGTGAGTGTGTGACATGATGGGTGTGTGGAGATCAGAGGACGACTTTGTCAAGTTGGTTCTGTCCTTCACCTTTAAGTCCTGGGGCTTGAACTTGGGTCCTCAGGATGGCTCAGCAAGTGCTTTAGTCACCAAAACATCTTGTTGACCCAGAATTTTTTTTTTAATTTTATGTACTCATGAAATAAAAAAATATATCAGAGCAGAATGTAAGATAATGAGGCCTTGTTGCACCTTGTTAGGGTTCCTGCGAGTTCAAGGTGGTCAGTGTACTTATTGCTGGAATTTGAGTCGATTCTGAGAGAAATGCTCTTTTTCTTAAGAGTCTCCCTCAACATTCTGATCAAGTGTTAGTAGCCTTTCCCTGGATTGAGAGATGATTCCTCATTTCCAGGAATGTTTGCTTACCCGAATGACATGTGCTTAACTGAAAAAAAGAAAATTCTTTTTTATAGTCAACACCTTTGGAGAGAAAAGAAAAAAATGGACATTTATTTCAAATGACCACTTGGCTAACTAGTTGTGTTTTGTTTTGGCATTTAATTGGAATAACTATTTATGATTCAGGAAGTGAATTAAAAGCGTCAACAAAATGAAAGACAATAGGGAAAGTTGGAACCCTGGGGCAAATAACATTGTATATTCCTGACCTAAGGGAATTTTAAGTCATGAAAAAATACAACATACAAACAGAACAATTGGTATGTGCCATGTGCCGGATACCTTTAGTGTCAACTTGACACACATGGGTTGAGGGAGCCTCAACTGGGGAATTTCCTCCATAGGACTGGCCTGTGGCCATGTCTGAGGGGCATCTTCTTGACTGTTGAGTGATGTGGGAGGGCCCAGCCCACTATGGGTGGTGCCACCCCTGGGCACGTGGGCCTGTGTTGCATAAGAAAGCAGGCCAAGCAGGGGCCAGGGGAGCAAGCCAGTAAGCAGCATTCCTCCATGGCCTGTGCTCCAGCTCCTGCCTCCAGGTTCCTGCCCAGAAGTTTCTACCTGATGAACTGTGAACCGGGAGATGGAAGACAAATAAACCCTTTCCTCCCCAAGTTGGTAGTGGTTGAAGTGTTTTGTCACAGCAATCGAGAAACAAACTAGAACAGGTCATATCTATACCATTCATTCATTGCCAGCGTGCATTTTCTGGGTTGTGGAATCCAAGCTAGAAAATGGCATAAACAAACATTCATATAGTTCATATATAGATAGCTGCACAAGAGCTTTTTTATTCTTGAACTTAATTTTGATTACTTTCAGGTGAGTTTTGCATAAGAACTCAAAGATGTACCATAGTAACATCATCTTGCGTTGGTAATTTTCCTGGATTCAGGTATCCTGCCTTGGTTTGGAGGCATGACCTTGGACAAGTCACAGTAATATTCTATTGTTCGTGGAGATGTCATATAGTACATGTCTGAAACTGATAGTTCTGAACCCAGTGCACACTGTGCTTTTCCCCATCTGTGCAGGCTATGGAAAAGTTTACTTTAAATTAGATATAGTAAGAGATAACTAATAACTAATAATGAAATAGAATGGCTATAACAATACACTGGGATAAAAATGGCTATCATGGCTATTCTTGTACTTTGCGGCATTTTAAGTAAAATAGGGGTTACTTGAACACAGACACAGCAATATGTGGCAGTCTATCTGGTAATCCACATGGCTACTAAGTGACTAATAGGTGATGGAATGCTGTAGTGATGCTACAGAGTGGATATCCAGGTGGTGATTCATGTCCTAGGTGGAACAGAGCCGGACAGTGTGAGATTTCATCCCACTGCTCAGAACAGTACACAATTTAAAGCATATGAATTGTTTATTTCTAGAATTTTCATTTAGTACTTTTGGACTACTGGTTGACTATGGGCAACTGAAATCACAGACAACAAAACTACTGAGAGGCTAGTGCACCTCACTGAGTTCTAACCCCTTCTTTGTCAACCAAAGGATCAGACAGGACCACGGCAGACAAAACGTGACACATCCTGGCATCCCCCTCTTGACTCCCTGTTCACTAAACTCAAGCAAGCCTTACTCTAGGACACAATTATCCAGTGAACCCAGACTTGCTTCAAGCTTCAGATGCACAGCTAGAAGCCACTGCTATGTGCTCGAGTTTGCACGAGATGAAGCATGTCTGCCATCCTCAGCTCAGCTCTGGGGGCTGTGGAGGTACACAGTCGGTTCTGTCATACCACATTCAAAAAGCTCAAGGGAATCCCGATTCTCTTACATATCGCCGTTCTCAAGTAGTCAAATATGTTTAGAACGTGCTCTTTCTTCACCACTTAGAATTTCTCCTGGATTTATTCATTTCCAAAATTAATTATCAGCTGATAGTCATTCTACTGTCTCTTATCTAGTAAGTAATTACAGTGGTCAGGATATGGCTCAAACATTGTAATGATATTGAAAAAAATTTCTAAAAACCTTTCCTAGTCTGACCATGTATTATAATGTTACTTTCATCAGATACAACAGTTATGAAAATACTTTTCAAAAGATCTGGAAGACCAGTCTTAAGAGAAAAACATGGCAACTACTTCAAAAAGGATGTTTGCTAAACTTGCAAATTGGTGTTAACTGTTTTAGAGCTGCTTAACACCCTCCCACTTACGGCCACCCCCTGACTCATGAAATGGAGATGGGAAATTTTTTCTAAAACAGAATCATGGAAAATTTCCAACTTGCACAAAAGTAGACAGTAATGTAATGAATGCCCTGAAACCCAGCTTCAACAATTATGAGTATTATGCCAACTTTTTTTCATTCTTTTTCTCTCCAAGTAAGTAAACACCTTACTACCTGGAAATGGATCACAGCTCTGTTTTGAGTTTGAAAGCACTGGTAGAGGCAGAAGGCAAACACATGATTTTCTAGTATTGTCTTTTACTGTTGAGTTTCTCAAAACTGCCAGTGACACGTGACTTTTTCTGCTTCCAGGTGGTACAATAAAAGCATCAGCCGAGACAAAGCTGAAAAACTTCTCTTGGACACAGTAAGTCTCCTTAAGCTGTCTAATGACTTAAAACAAATTGTGCCGTTTCCAACCATACTATGATTTATACCAATGTGGTGGATTCATATGTTGGATTAACAATGGCTTTCATGTCTGATGACAATATTCTGAGAATTTTCAGGAATCGAAAACACAGGAAAGGAAACCTGCAAGGGCCCTGGGCTCCATGTTAGTATTGCACCACAGTGAGCTTGACCCTGGGCAGCCTCAGGGCTTCTCTGCCTAAGTCAGGGGTCAGATTCTGCCTGAAGGAGCTATGATTTAAAGGAAGATAATTTTTCATCTACAGCATCTTCTCTGAAGCCATGCAGTGTGGCAGCGGGACTGACCTCCCCCAGAGATCTCAGGTTTAAGGGCAAGAGGGGTAAAAAGAGAGAAAGCATCATATGTGTGATGGGACGGGTACCCAGTTCTGATCTCATTCTGACATCAACTCAGTGTGTGACTATGAGACTTCACTTCTTCCTCCTGGGACCCTGTTGTCAGTGAGGACATGGAGGCTGCCTGTGTACTCCTGGCCCTGTGCACACAGTCAGTCACAGCCATGACACTGGGAACCCACTGGGAACTATGACACCCTCTAAGGAGTTAGAGGCCAGGGTAAGGGAAGCCAAGATCAAAGGAACTGAGAAAGTGTACATGGAGGCGAAGGAGCTGAGCTTCTTGTGTTCTTGTTTCTCCTTGGTTCTCAGCATGTAATGATCTCCTGTGGTTCCCAATAGACTACATATTTCAACTGCTGTGAGATGCTTATAAATACATATTCTCAGGAGCCATTGGGATGGCTCGGCAGGTAAAGATACTTGCTGCAAAGCCTGATGACCTAAGTTCAAGCCCAAATGACGGAAGAAGAAAATGACTCCTACAAGTTGCCTTCTGGCCTTCACATGAGCAGCATGGTATGTGTGTATGCATGCACACACCCACACACATGCACACATACACCACATAATTTAAATGTAATTCTCTGGAATCTGTATTTTAAGTAGGGGTTACGATGCATATGTAACCAGCTTGTCTCCTGACCCCTCTGCCTCTGTTGTTGGAAAACATAGTAAAACTCATGTAATAACTAATTATGAGGAGCACAGAATTAAGACCCCTAATTATGCTGTGCTTAAGCAAGGACATTTTCATTATGTTCCATCATATCATTAATAAAATCTATGGAGCCATTTAAATAGCCCACATCAATGACTACCTGAAAGTGATTCTTACTGTTCAGCAGTTCTTTTGAGACATTGAAATATATTTTGCTTACTCAGGCTGTTGACAGTCTTCCTTGCTGATAATTTGAATTCCTTTACCAAATCTGCTCTTCCTCCTTAGGTGCTTCCAAGGGCAAGCTTCAGGTGGTCTCTGTCAGCTGGACTCTGGACAGTTAGAAAGCAATGACATTTTCTTGCATTTTGTTTTCTTATGTGCTGTTGGACTCAATAGTTGTGTTGTTTCTCAGGTGTATTTAGTTTTCTTTTTAGTTTTTTGTCGTTGTTGTTGATTGTTTTTGTGGCAGGGTCTCCCTAGTCACAGCCCACCTGGAAGTCACAATGTGAACCAGTGTGGCCAACTGCCTCTGTCTCCTGAGGGCTGGGATTAAAGGTGTGTGTATTTACTTTTCTTATCCAACAAGTATGCAACTCTTTTTTTTTTCCATCCTTTTTCCTTAATTTATTTATGTCTTTGTGTTTAAAGTGCATTTCTTGTAGACAGCAAACAGTTGGTCTTGTTAAGACTGACAATTCAGCTTTATGATGTGTATTAATCATACTTTTCATTTAATTTACTCACTGAATAACATTATTTTTTTTTCTTCTTTGACTTTTTTTAATGGGGCTTTTGGCTACTCTAACATTCCCCCCTTCTGAAGAGGTAACCCTAAAATATTTTAAGGATTAGATAAAAGCTCCCAAATATTTTTGACATTTTTGGCCTTTGGAACAGAGTACGTTGCTAAGAGGCCCAAGGACATTGTGAGTTTTAGCCAAGAAAGAAACTGGCCATTTTTCTTTGGGGTCTTTTTACCCTAACTACTTAGCCAATTCCTACCTCCTATTATCACACCGTCCTCTGAAGAGGTTACCCAAATTGCCAGTGGGGAATCAGGATGCAGACCACTCTGGCTTCTTCCATGCTGACCAGGGATGCAGGGTGAGGCAATTGGAGTACCCCTTCAGTGGATATATCTAAAAGACTCCCAAATTGCATACCTCTTATCTTGAGAAGGAAAAGAAAGTCTTTGAATCGTGAATAGATGTGAAGGAGAAGTAAAGGCAAGAGTAGTTAGCATTACAAGTTCTAGACAGGGAACTAGAAAAAAGTCAGAACAAAGCAATTTTCAAATGTTCATATGACAGTCCATTGGAATTTCTTGACAAGGGCTTCCAAAAGCATCCCTCTATTGGGTTCCTCCTCATTTTTCTTTTGTCTTCCAAGGCTGGATGCTAGAGTGATAGATTCAGGATAAGTATATAACTCTTAAAAGAGGGATTGAGTTCTTTTTCTGTTACTAACTAAAGCTTGTAGAATACATACCTCTGTCTGCCTGTCTGTCTGTCTGTATATTTTTCCAGTTTTTCTTCTCCCCATTATACCTAGGTACCCCAAACTGTATTTAGCACAAAGTAGTTATCCAAAAAAAATCATTGCATGAATGAATGCATTAAATAATTAAGTATGTTTAAATCAATACCTATATGTAAGAACCTGGCTGGTCCTGAGTGTCACTGGGGCAACTTTAAAAACACAAGCTCTTGTATTCTAGACCTATCCAATCAACATGTCTTCAGGGGGCTCCCAAGTGATTATATGACTTAAATTAGTTTACAAACATTGAAAAGAATCTCCTCCATGTTCTGTTAATTCTTCAAATGTTGCCTCCTCTAAGGATCTTTCCTTCTACCTAGCTGTGGGATGTGATTTTATCACCTTTTAGCTGGTAGTGTAATGTTATTTCTCCAAGGACTCTGTCTATCCTTTGCTGTCAATCTCAGCAATTTGTCCTCTGTCTTAGCCCATGGAGATAGATGGTAAGTTCCTGTGAGCAGATACTCTTTTTTGGGGGGTGCTCTTTTTGAGACAGGGTCTCCCCGTAGCTCCAGCTGTCCTGGAACTCATTATGTAGACCAGGCTGGCCTTGAACTCACAGAGATCCACCTGCCTCTGCCTCCCGAGTGCTGGGATTAAAGGCGTGTGCCACCAGGCCTGGCCGTGAGCAGATATTCTTTAACTAACTCAGTGTACCCAGCAGCATCTCACACATTGGGTGACCCAAGCTTTACACAAGAGCCTAACCTAAGACATCAGTTTATCATACCTCTGTGATTTCAAGATGTCATCAAAGATGCAATATTGACTTAATAATGAGTTTGTTTCTAGAAAAGAGCCACCTGCAGAATGAAAGCTGGATATATATATATATATATATATATATATATATATATGTCAGAGATGCCTCCCAAGCGCTGGGATTAAATGTGTGCATCACCACACCCAGCTGAGACATATACTCTCAGCCCAGACAGCATGTCTCAGACGAAGACAAGCAATGTAATTCATGCTTCAACACATGCTACTCCATAGGGTAATTGGTAATAATAACCCTAATAGTCCATGTCCTGGGCTTGTGTTCCAAAAACGTTCTATGGACATTACTCGACTCTCCCAACAGCCTTGTAGGACATTTTACAGATGAGAAAATTGGCATTCATACATTTAACTAGGAAACATCTGGAATTCACAATATTATGGGCAATTACCCTAGAATTCCCTTTAAAGAGCATCTGGTTTGCCTCTGTATTGAAGGCAAAAAACTGGGGCCACATCCAGAAAGTGGATCCATGTACTATAGCAGATATGCTTCAAACACACACACAAACACACACATGGAGGGAGGGGAATCTATGGAGTCTAATGTTCCTAAATGTCCTTCAGGGTGGGACCAACCGCTGGAGCCTGGTTAAACTGCCAAGAGTAATATCTTTGAAAGAGACTGACTGCCCCTCTCTCAGCTACCATCAGCTGCAAATATTTCCTTATGTGGGGTTGGGGTTTCTTACCTACTGTTGTTGCCTCTTTATTTTTCTAAGTGGAGTAATGAAAAGCAAACCAAGACCTGAGTATGCTCGGAGGAACTGAGGGCCCCCCAGCAGCATTGTGCATGTGCCCCCAAGTCACTATCGGTGGCTGAGGCCCCCTCTCAGCTCCTTGCAGGAAGTGTGCGGTAAGGCACATGCTGCTGTCTTGCCTTCCTCAGAACTCTTAGCTGCCTCAGCCCCCAATAAGAGTTCCTGTAGCTCTCACCAAGTGCCACTCACAGCAGCTAGAGTGGAGAAAGAGCATGTTTCAGGGAAACAGAGCCTTCCATATTCCAAAGAGTTGACAGTCTCCTTTCCCAATGTTTGAGTACTTCCTCTTTATAACAGCTGAGCGCTGCTGTAATTACAACTAAATTTTTTTTTTTTTTCGGAAAAGCAATGACCTCTTTGAAAAAATAACACCAACAAAGCCAGTAAGATATTAATTGGGTGGAGGAGATGTTTGCACTCCCCTCTTCACAGACAGTTTGTGGGCGCCTGGTCTTTTTGGTTTCTATGTTTCTTCCCCTTTAGAACAAATGACATAATCAGATAAAATCTGCCTTTGCACGAGGTCTGTTTCTTCCTGTCTCGAGTTTAACCCATCACATCTCAATGATTTAGAGCAAAAGCTACATTTTTTGGCAAAAGGGGAAGAGCTAAAAACAAGCTACTCTACCTGCAGTGTGTAAATAAATACCATAAACAGCAAGCAGAGTGAAAGAATCCAGGCAGACATAAAGTCTCTACTCACAGCAGTCCAAAGGCGGCTCCTAGATGATGAATGGATTAGCAAATGTAGTCTGTCCGTACAGTGGAATGTCCCTCAGCCACAAGGAGTGAAGTCCTGATACATGTGACCACCTAGAGGGTCCTTGGAAGCAATATTCTAAGTGAAAGAAGTCCCTGGCAGAGAACCACACATTATGATTCCATTTACAGAAAATATCTACTATAGGCAAATCTATAGAGTCATAATCTTATTGGAATGCATTTCAATGTGGCTTCCTGCATGTAGTGTGTGTGTGTGTGTGTGTGTGTGTGTGTGTGTCTGTGTGTTTGTGTGTACATGCAAAAACTTCCTCCTTTGTGACTGGAGGTTGGAGGGACTTCTGTTATTCTGTACAGTAAATACTTTTCCCCATATATGTAAATGTGTGCAAGACCCTGTCAGACTTTCACTTATGGCCCTTACAGTGTCTGTTTGAAATAAATCATAATTGACAAGCTTTGCAATGTTGACAGCCAAGAAGAAGAAGAGTTAAGGACACAGTTCTTAAATCAGAATTCAGATTTACAGTTCTCACCAGGAATGGATGAACTGGCACATCCACCCCTGGATGCTGAGGAAACTGTCAACAGGGAGAGAGGTGCACTCTCCTGGCTTTCCCTTCTCCCCAGCTCCCTCCTGAGACTGGGAACTTTCTGTTTTTCCTTCTTCTGGCCCTCAGTGAAATTAGAACTGTGGGAAGAGACTGAGACATACAGACCCATTCAGGAACTCATGGAACTTCCAGGATAAGTCTTGGGCCCTGTGGGGGATGGAGAAGAGGTTGTAGTGTCTGTTGAATGGAGCATCATGGAGCAGGAGAGGTCATGGGCTTTGCTCAAGGACCAAAGTTCAAGGCCCAACTCTACTGCTCACTAGCTGCAGGCCATGGGAAAGCCACTTAAGTTCTGGCACTAAGTGTCTTTGTTGTCATAGAGGATAATGATGTCTAGACCGCAGCATTGTGGTGAGTCTGATGCGTGCTGAACTGTAAAGGTGAGGGTCTGTATCTGTCTGTTTTCATTCATGACCAATGTCAGTACTAGGACAGTCCCTGATCCATGTAGGACCCCAGGAAATGACTGTTGACTGTATAGTTGAAATGATGGCCATTATTACTGAAAATCTGTTCTGTGCCACGTAACGCTTTCTCCTTCCACAAGCAAAAAGGAGAACCAGGGTCAAAAACCTGACTTTTGAGATCACTAACCTTCCACTCTTTCTACCAAATCCAGGGAAAAGAAGGAGCTTTCATGGTCCGAGATTCCAGGACACCCGGGACATACACAGTCTCTGTGTTTACCAAGGCCATCATAAGGTACGGATGATTCTCACTCAGCTCAGCAGAGTAGAGAAGGCTGCTTCTGGTGACATATTACACACAGTGAGGTCCATCCATGCCATAGGCAGAGCCTCACTAGTGGTGACATGGCTTCCCCTGGCCCTGCTGCAAAAGTAGAGGCCAGAGAGGTCAAGGGCACAACTGGAGAGACAGGACTGGCTGGACACTAGATCTTCTTCTTGGCTATGGTTAGGCCTGATGGCAGAGCTCTAAAGACATCAGATACTTGCCCTGTATTTGGTGAGTACATCATTTAATATACAGAGTAACAGAAAATGTATTTTCACCTAGAGTAGAAAATTAATTCCAGGTGTGACTCTGCTGATACTATTTCTTGAGCCCTAACTATGCGTCAGAAACCTGGCAGAAAATTTCCAGTCCTAAGGAGTCCTAAAAGCCAATGCGCCAGGCTTGGTTCACATAGAAAACAGTAAGGTGTAAACCAGCAGGCTGAAACCTCCAGGCCCTTATGTTCCAACCAAGCAGCCAGCAAGGCCACAACTATGCACCATTTGTCCCTGAACCTCACTCTCCTTCTCTGTTAAAAGATGTTGAAAGGCTCTTGAGGTCACTTCTAATTAGAAAATAAATAAGGGGTCTAGAGAGATGGCTTAGCAGTTAAGAACACTGGTTGCTCTTTCAGAGGGCCTGGGTTCGGTTTCCAGCACCCACATGGCTAGCAACCATCCATAACTCCAGTTCCAGGAGATCCAATGCCCTCTCGTGACCACTGTGGGCATTGCATGCACGTGTCTCACATAGACACAGGCAAAACACTCATACACATAAAATAAAAATAAATCAAAAGCATTTTGAAAATGAGTAAGAACTTAGCAACTTGGCAATGAGTAAACTTGTAAGAATTCAGAGAGCAGAAAAATAATTTTCCTCTTGTTCTCAAACAGATTTTTAATGAATTTCATTAGCATTGAAAATGATGGGTTTCCCTATGACATTTTCATACACGTACATCATTGTCCTTTGCTCATAGCCCCCCTTACCTCCTCTTCCCCACACCAGCCCCCTTCTGCTCTCCTAATGGTCCATTCTTTCCTTCATATGTGATGTATGTATATATATTTAAGCCACACTCTTCCTGTCTTTTTCTTTCTCATCACCCAACCTTGTTCCCCATCCTCCTCTTGCAGACGCCTCCCTCCCCTTACGTACTCCCCTTTCTGTTTTCATGCCCTATGCAAGCATGTGTATTACTAAAATGAATTAGTTTATTATAAAATAGCAACAATAAATGTAGTTATATCTTAGCGTGAATTTATTAAAATATATTTATAAAACAAAATAGGGATAATTTTTTTTCAGGATTTTTTTATTCATTTATTTGCTTTTTTTCTTTGGCATACAGTGCAATGGTTTTCACTGCGACACTTTCATACATGTACAAGGAAGTTGTTCCTGCTTGTGCCTGTCCACTGCCCTCCCCCATCCCCCCCCCGCCTCCT